TTTAAGAGTTGACTCACAAGAAGTACCAAATAACAGAACTTTAGTACTTTTCCTAAATAATTTAATTTCATTCTAATTTTTGAATTTGGGGTTTTTAACAGCCCAAGAATTGGGTACATGTGGACTATTTAAAATTAGGACTAACGACATACCCAGCTCTCTACAGCAAGTAGACCTCCTCAACCCAGAATGCTGAGCAAGAGTTCTCATGGGAAAAATTACAGAACCCCCACGGTGTTCAATGGATGAGTCCTTCACCTCATCAAAAAACAGAAGGAACTTGCTACGTTCCTGCAGTCTAAGGCAGTCACCAGTACTAGTTTCCAAGCTTGCCTTTTCCCCTAACAGAAGTAAAAAGGTACAAGACCCCAAGCTGCGTCCTGAGGGCACCGAGTGTCTCCAAGCCAGCCAGTGCACCCTGGTCCTGCCCGAGGTAAGCGGCTTGGCTGGGCACAGCTCTCAGCTCTTTCTTCCTCTGGGCTTTCCCTCTCCTTTAGGGACCTGGGATGTGCTGAGCACTTTGCCAGGCTCTGCGTCATACAAGGGAGACCTGGAAGACGACAGAATCAATGTTTTTAAGCCAAGGTTCTCTAAAGTGATCGTTCAGTCTCCTGAACTTTCCCAATATGTAAATTATGCAAAGCGTTACTGTATTATCACACCCAGAACATTCTCAAATGTTAACAGTGGATTCTATCTTCACACTCGTCATGAAGGATCTGGAAGCCGTTTTCAGAATGGCACTAAGTTTTTCTGAGAAATGCCAAGCCTATGAGAATAATCTATGTAAGTGGGAAAAAGCTGGAAATTCCATCTCAGTTGTAAGGTTATTGTTAGTGATGCCGCAGGAGACAAGCTGCTGCAGACTGCCCTGCTTTCCCCAGGAAGGACTGCAGTGCCCCACAGTTTCAACAGAAACGTCGAGTTAAATGCATCGACAGGGAAAAGCTCTGTAGACTCTGCAGTGGTGCTTGCTACACCTTAAGTACAGAGCTAAGCAAATCCTAAAGGGAACCTTGAACAGTCAGGTGGACACATGATGGCTCTCCTAGGGGAATGTGCTGTCTTGCTCACTTCTCCTTTAAGAAAGACTGGGGCAGAGGAGGACCTGCAGCATGACTATGTTTATGAATTCCTTCCTCCAAGATGTGGCAGGACCCCTGTCTTTTAATATATATTTGAACATTGTAACCTTGCTTCTCAAATCCCAAAATACTCTGGTAGGAGATAGAGATTAAAAAAATAACCTCTTTCATGGATGGTGGAATTGGGATATATTCAGAACCAGCATGATGCCCATAATAGACATTGAAATATTTTCCTAAAATAACATTTAAACTAAATCTTCAGAGGATGAATGACTTGCTCTGGTGCTAACAGGACTCTGCCAGGTGTGGTGTGAGCTGAACACTCTCTTCCTCACAGGGTACAGGGGGCTCCTTTAGCATCGACAGTGAGGAGTACGAGGCGATGCCTGTGGAGGTGAAGCTGCTGCCCCGGAAACTGCAGTTCTTCTGTGACCCGAGGAAGCGAGAGCAACTGCTGTCGAGCTCAGCCCCGTGAGCAGCCAGGAGACGGGCCACCAGTGGGACCAAAAGGGAACAGATGCCTCAGCTGCCCCCACAGTGTTGTCAGAGGATCCCCAGGGCATTTCCATGGCAAGTACCTCTGCCCTTCCCTCACAGTGCTTCCCGAAGTCTGCTCTGTCCACCTGCCTTCCATTAGCGCATGCTTTTGACTCTGAGACAGTCCTTCCCCCAGCTAAGTTCAAGGACACTCACACGCAGCGGCTGGAAGAGGAATAGGCTAGACTTTGTTATTTCCCCAAGTACAACTGCAGTGGCAAGCAGGCTCCTAGACTCCCTGCGTCTGTCTGTCCTTGGGCAACCCTAGGACTTCTGCCCCCCGAGTCCTGGCTGCAGGCCTCCCCTGGGCGCTGCTTGGTGAGCTCTGACTTGGCTTGTTTCAGGTCGATTCTCAACCCTAAACTGTAGGTGAGGTGTTTCCCTCTTCAGCCTGGGCTGAAATACTGTAAAATACTTTTTGTTTAAGTAGTGTTTATTAAATGTTTTCAATGTTAGTTTGCATGACAAACCAGCTGGGGTGCATGTTGAAAATTGACTTACTTGGGGTCCAACCCAAACTTACATAACTCAATCTGGATGGAGCCCAGGAACCTGCATTTTCCTGACAAGCAGCCTCCCTCCCTCCCCAGGTGATTGTATTCCAGGCCGTCCCCCAGCCTCACCTGGACAGTGTTGTAAAGTTGTGTACTTCCTAGAAGTTTTGCCAAAACCAGGTGTCCCGTCCCACTTGAAGTTGACATCTAAAATTTTTCATGGGAAGTTGCCAAAGCATGTACTTTCTGCTGTCCTGTAAATATTGATATTTTGAAATAAAATCCGTTACTTCACTCTTTTAAACATATCCATCCACTTACAAAAAAATACATTATTAGTTGAAAATTTTTAATTTTTTCTCCTTGTATGTATATTTCCATACTATTTCCTTTATTAGTTGAAAATTTTAAATTTTTTCTCCTTGTATGTATATTTCCATACTATTTCAGCAAAGAATGCTATCATAATGCAATCTATTTTTATGCTTGAATTTTTTAGTTCTTAAGTGTTAGTACAGAATAAATGTTATATTTATAAAATTGATAAAAGAATTTGATAATTAAATAACTAATTTTAAGATTTAACTAATTTTATTAGGATGTTCTTTATCCAATTATTTCATTTATCCAAGAACACATATTATTTGTAGCTAAAATGGAATAGGAATGAACACTATATTCCTTGTTCCATTTTTTATAGATTTAAGCACATCAAATGAATTTGAAGAGCTGCACGACACTGTTATATGTCAAAAATCAGTGATCTGTTAACAGCTTGACGAGATCTCCCTTTAGTTGGCTGAAAGCAGAGAACTAAAAACTCCTAGCCTGCTAAGGATTTGTTAGCCAGTCATCTTCCTTTGCTTTTAATCTCACCATCAACCTTGTTCAGTGCCAAGTTTTGTACTCTAGAGGGCAAAGCACCTCAGTAAGATGGATGAGAAGCAGCCTTCTTTTATAAAGAGGAAGGAAAAGTGGGAGGGGGACTGGCAGGCCTTAATCAGCTTCAGGGCAGCATGTATGCTGTGAGCCCCTTGCTGTCTGATGCTTTAAAGCAGGCCATGTGGATATTTATAACATCATTCAGGGGCCATGCATAATTATCAACTTAAAAAGTATAATTGCTATGAAAAAAAGCTCCTAGATTTATTGAATTTCTAGTCCCGCCTACAATTACCTTGGCTGGATCGGATCTCCCTCACCCCTGCTTTATAAAGCAGCTACGAAAAGCCGATGTGAGAAGAGCACAGAAAACAAGGCTTACCTATGACTTCTTCAGAGAGGTGTTTAAAACTGTGCTTCTGTCACCAGAAAAAAGTAACAGGTGGGTCCGAACAAGCAGAGTGAGGATCACCTACTCACTGCCCATGGAGGGGAGGAGATGCTGTGGTAGAAGGAAAAGTTTTCACATGAGCCGGAGAATTGAGCACATCCTGATTCTAGAATAAAGGACCAGCCGGAATCTGGTAGGCAACCAGCATGTGTGTGTCAGGGCTTCTATTCCTTCCATCAAAATAATGGAACTTAGCATTGGGGAGGATATTTAATCCAGATTACTATTTTCAGTCACTTTAAATATAAATATGCCCTGATTTAAACTATATCCTGTGAGACTATGGTTTCCTTATCTACTGCCTTGTCCTTCCATATAATGTGCATGCAAAGGCCATTTAGCCGTGCAGCTAGGAGAGGGTCATCCTTCTCAGCCACACCGGGATGCTGAGGCATCCAGAGAACCCGAGTCCCTCGCCTCCTGTTTAGTACAAACCTCTGTCAGACCAACTTCACTCACAAGCTAAAGCTATTTCTATTAAATAACTTAATGGAAAGCCTTTGCATGCATGGTTATCATTACTATGTGTCTGGTGCTTTACATAAGCAACTGATTGATTCAGTTCTCATAGCAGCCTTAGGAAGTAGGTAATGTCATGGGAAAGTAGGAGCCTGGCTTAAAAACACATCAACAATGTTAGCAATTTACTGCCTATGTATAAAAATCAAATAAAACTTTCATGTCCACATACACACACACACACACACACACATGATATATATGTATATCTCTCTCAATCATACATATACGTGAATATACATATAATATAGAACGTCTTCAAGTAACCTTTGGTGGGAGGAGACGTGAAACGGAAGGGCTGTGGTCTCTGTGGTGTCCTCCCCTAGAAGTCTTCTGATGGGATTGGGGTTCGAGGTCCTGGCTCCTCCGGATGGCAGTTATTCCGGCTTTGGTTCCCGTTACTTGGAGAATGTCTGTCCGTGGCCTCCAGGAGGACAGGCCCCAGCTCTCGGGTTTCCCACACTGTCGCGGGAAGTGAGGTCAGCGTGCAGTCGTGGGCTCTGCTCTTGCATTAGCCGTCACTCCCTACTACAGACACATTTCTTGGACCAGGTGAAGGACTGCGCACACGTGTTCATGTTAAAATGTGAATTTTAATTGTAAAAATTATTTTCTGTAAATATAGTTATATCAGCTTCTCTACACACAACTTGGTTCAGATATATACAGATATGATATACACAGATGTTATTTGTACCACAGAACAAAATCAATTCAAGAAACACTCTGAAATTCAGGATAATCCCAACTTTCTCTGGGCCTTTAAAATTATCACCATTGAAAACAGAGCAAGAATAACATACCTATAAGCAGTAGTACTCAGGGTAAAATTTATTAACTGACATACTGATATCATAAGATGAGGTAAAGATTTGAAACAAAAGTAGACTCAGTTCCTCTTATTGCTATAACTCATACTGGGGTGTTAATCAAAATAGGGGCTGGACATTTAAGGTGACAAGGGATGCTATGCTTTTCCTAACTTGGGAAAAATAGGAAAATTTTTTTTTCCAAAGCTACAACTTTTTCAGAAAAGGTTTATTTCTCAGACCCACAAAAAGTTTAGCCCACAAGCTTGGAGTAAATAAAAGATGTTACTTTTGTTTTCTACCCTATACCCCTAACGGCCCCTTCCACCCTGTCTGACAAAAGCCCAGAATCTACACCTCCCCTCACTGTGGTCTTCCTAAGCACGCTAGACTGAAACACTTTTCCTGATGCCACTTCAAAAGTATGTTTATACTTTTATCTTTGCTTAATTTGCCCAGAGGAAGTTTTCACTCGAATGTCAAATTAGCAATCAACTAACTCAGTGACCTCTGTGTAGATTTGTCCTTTTTTGGATCATCTCTGGCCAATCTGTAATACCCTGCCCCGCCTTCCCAGCTATCCTTAGAAAGCAAACTGATCTTCAGTCTAACTGGGCTTTCCACCGCAAACAGATGATTCACACTGACCTCCCATTAAGTAATTAAATCAAGTTTCTGAATGTAGGGCCTACTGCCTCTGAAAGCCCATGCTATGCTGAGCTTCTATAATAAACGGAAGAAATGAAAGCAGAGCTTTACTTCCCCATCATTACTTATACAGCATTAGAAAATGCTGATTTCCTTTCTTAATGTGCAGCTTCATCCAGCTTCCCCTGTTCTCCAGCTCCAAGCGTGAGTTAAAGTGCCAGTTATAAAACTGCCTCCCACAGTCAAGAGGCCTAATCAGCATTATTCCATGACTCTATGTCACCCTCCCTAGGACTGTCAGGTCTATCTCCTACAGGGTGCTATTAGATTTCACAGTTCAGCCTAGCCAGGGTGGCCCAGTGGTTGGGCATCAATCCATGAACCAAGAGGTCACAGGTTCAATTCCTGGTCAGGGCACATGCCCAGTAGTGGGCATGCAAGGAGGCAGGTCAATGTTTCTCTATTCCTCTCCCTTCTCTCTCTAAAATGAATAAAAACATATGTATAAGAAAAAGATTTCACAGTCCTTGTTCACTCTCCAAAACATCTAAAGTCATAAAACTTTTATGGGGTCTCAGTTGCTTCTAAATTCCCAAACTGCCCATTTCTTCTAGGATTACAGTTTGGAAATTTCCTTCCATTCTAACATCTGCATACTCATTTCATCACACAGTAATATTGATATAAAAATAAACTTCCATTTCTTATAAGAAAAAACATTAACTTAATTCACAGTTAGCCTTTCCCCATAATACTCAGTACTCCACTGGCTCCTGGGAACAGAGGTATATTAGTAACACAACGGAATATTAAAAATCCACAACTTGGGAGTAAAAGGAGCTCTTAACTCCTTCTCTTCTGCTACCTGAATCAGAAAACGGTTTTCCTGAAATGCGGGGGGCGGGGCCTGCGGATATAAGCATCTGGGTCTGCAGGATCCTCACTGGCTGCAGGACATGGTGGAGCTGAGGGGCAGGGGAAAGCCCGGGACTGGACTTTTCTTGGATCCTCCGCCCGCTAGCGAGGAACCTAACGGAGATAAAGCTGTGCATGCGTGTTGGTCCCCAGATTAACTTTCTTGCTGTTTTCTGTCATCACACTAAGGCAAGTTCACTGCCAATCAGAACACTGTCTTATGATTTCCTCCCCTCCTGTACCTCTGCAAGAATGAGCTGCTCTGGGCTTGGAGAAAGCATCTTAGTCCATTCCCTGGGCCTTGTTGTTTCATAAAAAACACACCAGAAAAACAAAAAAAAAAGGTCCCTGAGGTCCGGTCCCGGCCTCTTCCCTGGAGGGTTCCTATACCACCATTAAAAGGTTAATTTGTTACTGCCCTTTGCAAAAGTTTCCCTAAAGGCCTCAGTTTAAAGGTGAATAATCTCCTCTTTTTATTGTGCCTGAAGGGCTCTCGATGTATCAAGACAAATAGCTGGCTCCTCCTCCTCGCCACCAGCAGGAGAAACAGTGATTCAGCTGTGATTTAATTGAGCTTTGTCTTTATCCTCCAGCTAAAATATCACAGGCTGTTACACTGATAAATGAATTTTCACACACGGTATTTAGAATTACCTACACCCCGTGCTACACTTAAATTCTCCATCTCGACTTTCACATGGAACCAAACAAGGTCAAGTTATAAATGCAAATTCCTATGCTAACTTATTTCCACCAATAAATACATCCATGAATTTGGCTTTCCTGCCCCAGCCAACTGCAAGAAGAGGTGTCGCATGGATGAAGGATTTGGGAGGCGCGTGCCTCCTAACTCATGGAGTCACAATTTACTGAGGCCCAGGGCCCCAACTGGGCAGAACGTCATGCTCCACGAAAGCCAAAGCAAATTCTCAACAAACAACGTGGCCCAGACTTTTCAATTGGTAGGAGATAAGCCCGACCATTTCTGACTCCTTCCAAAGGCAGTCCCGAGCTAGAGGGCAACTGGACATGGTGGCAAAGGCTGACTACTGCCATCTGCCAAGCCTGCAAACTTGAAAAACCCACTTTAACACCAGTAACCCCCACGCCTGGATTAGGCCTCACCAGGATTCTCGCAACCTGGAGTTTTCCAACGCGACCTCAGGATGTCAGCGCAGCCCAGGAGTCTCAGGTCAGCAGTTCCCAGGATGGTTCACGGCTCCCAGCACCACACAAGCTCAGGCTGAAAGTTGCCCAAGGGACCCGGCCAGCGGGGGCAGGGAGGGCTTGCTCCAGCAACAGCCCTCAGTCAAGGGGCCACACCCCAGGTTAGGTTTCCAACAGGTTCCAGGTCAGTGGTCTCCATAGGCATCCCAGCTTACAGACCGGGAAGGCAGGACCTCAAAGGATGCTGCTCACCAACATCTTCCAAACGAAAGCGATGGTTTCTCAGTATGTCAACAGGGACAGAAAACCAAACCAAGGTGGCTTCCAGCTTCTGCCGCCGCCACCCAAGGATTCCTGCCTCAGACCTCACAAACTCATTCCCCTTCTAGGAAACAGGCAGCGAATCATGCTGGGCTGGGCTGCCCACCCGAGACAGTGGGGAGGAGGCAGGGGGATGGCAGTCAGGTCCACAGCAAGCTTTCAAAGGGGAACCTCCACATCTCAATCGAAGCAAAAAATGCTCGGGAGATGACAAACCACGACAAAGGGAATACAGAGCCAGTGTGCACGCTGGTCAGCCAAGCAGAGGTGGCACCACACCGACTTTCTAGTCCCACGAGGAAGCGGCAGGGCGGGGAAGGCCGGCAGGGAGGGGACAGACAAGTTCCGCTTTGGGGTCAGCTAGGGCTAGGTTCCCCATGACCTAAGACATGGCACAGCCTCATGTGTATGTTCCCCACTGGGGCACCCAGACCCCAGCCCTCTGCATGGCATGAAGGTGGACGCACGGACATGCCAGACAGATGGCTGCCCACAACAGTGGAGTTGAGTGAAGCCCAGAGCCCCTGACCCACCATTCAGAGGGAACTCCAGGAGCCTCATTTTCTCCCCACCACCTGTACCTCAGCACTTCCGAGCTCCGAGTTTACAAGACCACAGACACAAGTGTTCGCATGCACACAGACTGGAGCCCAAGTGCTGAAAAGGCATTCTTCCAACACACTCCCCAGTTCCACGGAAACAGCGTCTGCCCGTGTCCTCCATGGGAATCTGCCCTGCCCTTCCACCCCCCCCCCCGCTCCGACCCCCCACCCCCAGCTTTGCACCCCTGGACCTTCCGCACACCCCCGACAGTAACCAGGACTCGGCCCGGTGAGAAGGCCGCCCCGAGCTGAGAGAGGGCGCTCCTCTAGGAAAATGGCAGAGCAGCTTTCGCTTGCACACGGATGTTTTCTTCTATAAACACACATACTATTGACATGACTGCAGGGAGAGAAATGTACTGCACAGTCTACATTTCAATGCCCACACTTATTTACATATTTACAGAAAAGGCACTGCCCTGATGACTCGATGCCTGTTGGCGGTCCCACGCATGCATTTCTGTAGCCTTGAATTCCTTCGTAAGGAGCCACAGTGAAAACAGCTCAGTCATGCGACTCACCCATTGGAAGGTTATTTCTGCTGTGTGCATTAGCCTGGCCACAGACACGATACACTGATGGCTATTCCGGTAACAGCCAGGCAGGAAGGGGGTAGGGGAAGGAATTATTTCCTTAAGTCAAAATCCTAAATTACGGCCCTAAGACTACTCACAGGCCCCAGCTTCCTATGTCACAATCGCTACCTCACCGAAGCTGACATCCATCGAACGCCCAGCCAAAGCGAACAGGCAGGGACCGATGGGAGCTGTCCAGACTGAAACCTCTGAGAGGAAAGCAGAAACTAACCTGATACTTGGGTTCCCGAACACTCGCCGGGGAAAGGCACTGTCATATTTGCTAACAAACCTGATAGGTCCCTGTCCCCAATTACTTAGCTCAAGGAACGTCCTCTCTGCAGGAGGAGCTCTGAGGCTCCATGCCAGCCCGTGCTCTCAGCTCGGTGTTAACCAGCTCAGATCCCGGCTGGATTACAGAAGCCAGGGAGGCTCTGCTTTGATCCGAGGCTCTCCTGGTCACGCCTCCGGAGGGCTCACCGGATGAAGGAACATCTTCTATCCTGCACCTCAATTCCTCCATCTTTGGGCAACACATGCTACTCTTTAAAAATACCCAAATTATTCCAAGAGGATGGGTAGCCCTTAAAGGAGACTGAATTGGAAAATGGATTTGCCAACCCATCCCGAGAGGGGGATTCTGAGGAAGTGGCCGCCAAGAACTGGGAGGAGTCTCAGCTGACTGACAAGGAGCCTCTCCCTGTCGCCCGGTCCCAGGAGAAGCTCGTACTCGGGTCGGAAACATCCTTCTGTCCCACTCAGATCTCTACTCACAGGAAGACACAGGTTTGTCCTAATAAACAGGAAAATGGATCTGACCCCCAGCCTGGACTCTCAGAACTGATGACCTTGAAAGGTCACCTGGTCTAGCTTCCGCCACGGGGGATACCCAGGACCACACTTAGGGAAGACGTGGTCTCATCCTTGAATCCATTGCGGGCCACACAGAGTTCTGGAACAGTCCACCTGTGTCTCCAGAGATCAGCCCACTCCTAGCGACACTTGGCCTTTGCCGCATCTCAGGGCATCCAACAAGGAGAGGAGAGAGTCAACGCTGATAACACCGGAGACCAAAGCAGGCAGCAACTCTGGGAGAAGGCGGCAGACCCCAGCGTCCTACAGAAGCAGCACACAAACCACGGCAGTCTCATCTCACCTCTCCAGAGCAAGGGAAGAACGGCGATTGCAAAAATTACATCAGTTGGGAAGTATAAACAGTATCCCTTTGTGTCCACTTAATAAAAAGTGAGCCCTCGGGGCCTGGCCGAGTCCCGCAAGCAGCTCACCAGCCCGGCTCCCCTCCTATGGGCAGCAGGGGTTGTCGATGACCAACATGACGTCGATGCCGTAGGCCTCCAGCAGGTCCATGAGGAAGCTGCGGTCGCCCTGGGGGTCCAGGCCCATGCCCCGCGCATGCTCGGCTGTCAGAGTTTTGTCCTGACTGGCGGACACCTCCAGCAGCGTCTGGAATATCCGGTTGTTTTGTTCGAGGAAAAACCTGCATTTCCGAGACGAGACACAGAAGAGGGAGGGCAGAAAAGACAAGAAGCTCACCAGAGAGTCCACGCCTGGGGAACTAGCCCACACTGTCTGGTTGAATATACCTTTCAATGGTTTCAAAAAATCATAAATCTCTTTTAAAAAAGAAAACAGGACCAAAGTTAAACGGGAGGGTTATTCAAGTACGACTAAGATTTGCAAAGAAAACACTGGCATTAATCCCTGTATGATCAGGGGAATCTCTGAGCAAGTGATGGCCTGCTGGGAGGGGACCAGAAGGTTAAACACGGCTTGGGGGGGCGGGGGGGTGCTGTGTTCCTCTCTGTGCTTAGTCACAGGGGAGTTAAGACAACGGAGCTCCAGTTCTGAGGTCAGGACCTTCAGAGAGAAACAAATGCACCTTCTGGGCCTGGGCTGGGTAACAGCGGCAGCAGGACGAAACGAATGACACCTGGGCCTCTGCAGGTCTCGCTGGCCCACACGGATGCCCACGTTAAAGGTGCAGCTCGGAGGAGCTGGGGCGGGCATGGGGCGCTCTGAAACCAGCAAGGCTGCGCGTGACAGGTGAGGGAGACACCGAGCCACGCTGCAGGAACCAGCACTGCCACAGCTGACCATCATCCTTGGGGTCTGTTCCCTTTGATTACTTTTTAAAAATTATTCACAGAGCATGCTCTCACGTCACTGATTTGTAGAACCACACGAATATGTGAACCGTGCCCAGAGAAGGCATTCGGTGTCCAGGCTGCTCGGTGGGGTCCCACAGTGCTCTCGGGCGGGCTCTGCAACGGCGCCTCATGGCCAAGGACGCTGTGGACGTCCAGGAACTCCAGGTACCAGGGAAGGTGTCAACCCTTGAGGAGACCATTCCCAGGTACTCTGACACCTCAACAGCTTGTAAGTGGGCGCTAGAAGGTACACTTTCTCAGGATCACAGTCCTGCACTTTGTTGAAATATCAATATTACATTTTCAACACCAAAGCCAGAGAGGGTTCTCACTGCAAGCTGTCCCCCACCCCACCCAGGACGGGGCACAGGGAGACCACACCCCATCCAGGACGGGGTGCAGGAAGCAACCGCACCTCTGTTCTCCTCACTGAGCACTAGTTCAAAACTGCTCAGGAATGAAGTTGATGCTCTGAGAGATACAGGCTGGGCTCCCACCCTGACCACCAACAGATCGGGGGCGGGGGGGGGGATGATTTCATTAGGTTCAAGGGTTAAATTTTCAGATTATCCCATAAGATTCAGTGCAAAGAACTACTCTACTCAAAGGCAGCAGTGGAGAAGTCCCTGAGTCCTGAGGGACAAACAGCTCCTATGCAGTGGACATCCTGCAAATGCCCAACAGGACAAACCCCAGGACCCCATTTCCTCTTAATGACCTTCCCCTGCTTTTTTCCTTAACTCCTGTGGGCCCCCCACTAAGAGCATGTCGGGGTTCAGGGCTGACAGTATGGAGCCCAGCTCTGAGTGCCCTGGGAAGTGGGAAGGAAAAAGGGGACGTGCAGTAAACCTGACAAGCTTGGGGGCACATGGCGGCCTGACAAGCTCACTGACCAAAAGTGACCCCTCGGGACGGTCTGACCACCAGATCCTAACTGGGCAGGTCACGGCAGGCATTCCCACCCCAGGCCCACAGCTCCTCAGCAGAGGTCAGACTCTGCCTTATGTGAGCTCCGTCCACTGTTGTCGTGTAGCTCGGACAACACACAGTCAGTGGGCTTCAGGCACCGTCCTTCCGTCTCCTCCTTTAATTCTAATGCATAAAATAAGCTGCAAAACTGCCATTCTCCAGAGCATTTGAGATTTTGCTTCCCAGCAATTGTTTGGCTCAAAGTCAAAAATTACCTACAGGTTTGTATGTTTCTTACATGGACAGAAGCAATGAGGGACCTCCCTGGCCTGCAGTGTGACCTGGGAGGGATCCGGCGTACAGCGCTGGTGCTAATGGGGCCCTCAGGGAGGCCCCACAGCCCAGCCCAGCGACTTACAGCACAAAGAGGTCCTCTTCACATGGGCCGTAGTCCCCCTCCACCTCCTGGGAGTACAGCAGCGTCTGCCTGTTGTGGGGAAGCACCATGAGACTCTGCAGGGCTGCAAGGTCTCTGTCATCGGCAAGGTCATCGTGAAGGCGTCCACACAGACCACTTCCACCCAGGAACGAGGAGGACCCAGAGCAGGTCCTCCATCCAAAGGCAGGGAGAGAAGGGGCCAGACAGGAATAAATAGGACTGGGAGTCAAACCCTGGGTCCAGGGCCGGGTCTGGCCCTGTATCACCTCAAGCAAGTGGCAATCTTTCCCATTTGCCCATCAGGTGGGATGCTAATGAGGCCACTGGTTGTGCAGGACAGTGAACTGCGGAGCATTATAAGGCAGCTCAGAGCTGTGGTGCACACACCAAATGCTCCAGGCCTGGCCTCTGCCCTGGACTTCGCAGATTCAAGTCCATCAGAAAGCAGCCCCCCTACCCCATGCGGATCTGCTGTGCTATCAGGAGGCTGTGCTGGGCCCCGCTTCGTCACCGCCCATCGCCCAGGCCTGCCATCTGCTCTGAGGGGAGGGGTGGGCTGGATGGGATGGCAGAGACCCCAGCCCAGGGTCCCACCTGGGGACATCTCCCCGAGGACACTGCCGGGGCTGCCGGGGCTCTACCTCTGCTCGTTGAGCCGCCGGTACTTCTCCCGGTCGGCGCTGTTGATCTTCAGCAGGGGCTGCAGGTGGTCGTGGTGTGTCTTCACATTCTGGTTGTCCACGTAGACATCGTACAGCTCCCGCTTCTCCTCGAAAATCTTCTCCGTGGTGCCTGTGAGACCCGAGGGCAGGAGCTGGGACCCGGAGGCCGTCACCAAGGGCACCAACCCACCCGCCGAGGAACAGGAGCCCAGGAGCCCGAGTCCCTGAGGAGAAGGGCCCTTGGGGAGCCGGGAGGCTGTGGAAAGTACTCGGGGCAGGGGCGTGTGGGCAGGAGGCGGGGAGGGCCCCGTACTCACAGGCCACATAGGACACCTCTACCTCCAGGCTCTCGATGTCAGCCACGTTCACATAGAAGAAAGGCTTGGACTCGGGAATGGTGCCCCCGAGGCCGGGCAGGGAGACGTTGGCCAGGCAGCAGCAGCAGTATACTGTGGGGACGGAGATGGTGAGGGGTAGAGTCTGTCCCTCCCAGCCCCTCCGCCTGCGAAGCCGCCGGTCCTCTCTGAGCCCTCAGCCTCCAAGGATGCTATGGAGGGCTTTGCTCTATGCTGCCCAGGCACCTGAGTAGCAGGTGGTCCTGATTCCAAGGAGGTGATAGGAGCCTGTTAGGTACCGCAGCAGAACTGAGGTCCTCAAGGCCACGCCAGTGATGGCCTACGAGACCCAGTGGGCAGGCCTCAGTCTTCCCCGCGCTAGGGCTTACGTAGGACGGGGCACTGCTGACCTGACCTCCTCAACATTCCCGCCTACTATGACCTCCACCTTCTGGCCCCTTCCTCCTGACAGTCCCACCTCAGTCTCTTCTGTCTTCCTCCTTATGGTTCACCTCTTGAGCTTCTCTTCTCTCCCTCTCCCCACGGATGCTGTCCATCATATGGTGATCAGCCCAACATTCCCCCAGGGTCCTGACCCAACTACACCAGTGCCCGGTGGACATCTGGAGAAGGCCTCACAGCACACACTCACCATGTCCAAAGTTCACTCTCATACCACCTGCTCCTCCTCAGTCCCCATCTGGTGGCCCCAACATCCTTGTCACCCTAGACCCGTGGTCGGCAAACTGCAGCTCTTTGGCCCCTTGAGTATGGCTCTTCCTAAGCCTTAGGAGTATCCTAATTAAGTTAATAACAATGTACCTACCTATATAGTTTAAGTTTAAAAAATTTGGCTTTCAAAAGAAATTTCAATCACTGTACTGTTGATATTTGGCTCTGTTGACTAATGAGTTTGCCGACCACTGCCCTAGACTCTTCCTCCATTACAACCTCACACACATCAGAACCTTACAACCCAGCCACACACCAAATGCTGTGAAGCTTATCTCTTAACTACAATCCATCTTCTCTGCTCTAATCCAGACCCTTATCTGTCACGGGACCACTGGTACATCACCCAGTGCATTTTCTGCATTGCCACGAGTCCACATTCTAAATCCAGATCCAACCAGGTCACTCCAGGCTTAAAACTGTGGCCCCCTCCCTTGATGTGGCCCAGACCCTTCTGAACTTGGTCAACAATGGAAGGACTCAAGCATTTGCCCTGGGGAACTCAGGAAGAGCCTCTGACATTGGCCTCTAGTTACCTCGATAGCACACGACACCCACAGGAGGGGGAGAAAATATCAGAATGCGCTTTCGAAGTAAGGCAAATTTCCAAAGAATGAGGATCTGTTCTCCAAAAAACTTAATAAACTGAGACATGCAGCCAGCTGGGTGTGTGATCTGAAAAAATAAAAAGGGAGGAATAGCTTGTTAGAAATGTCATTTTAAAAATATTCGAACAATAAAAACAATCACAATAATTCAAACACTTGGAGGCTGAATAGCATACTATTAAACAATGAGTGGGTTACCAAAGAGATCAAAGAAGAAATAAAAAAAACATCCTGGAAACAAACAACAATGAAAACACACAATCCAAAATCTTTGGGACACAGTGAAAGCAGTCTTGAGAGGGAAGTTCATAGCATTACAGGCCTACCTCAAAAAACAAGAAATACTGGTAATAAACCATCTAACTCTGCAACTTGAAGAATTAGAAAGAGAGCAACAAGAAAATCCCAGAGTGAGCAGAAGGAAGGAAATAATAAAGATCAGAGCGGAAATAAATGACATAGAGACCAAAAAAAAAAATACAAAAGATCAATTAAACCAAAAGCTGGTTCTTTGAAAGGATGAACAAGATTGATGAACCTCTAGTCAGGCTCACTAAGAAGCAAAGAGAGAGGACCCAAATAAACAAAATCAGAAATGAAAGAGGCAAAATAACAACAGAAACACAAAGAATCATAAAAAAATACTATGAGCAACTCTATTCCAACAAACTGGTCAATCTAGAAGAAATGGACATATTCCTACAAAAAATATTCAATACAGGTGGGTGTGAACCCCTCTAAAATAAACCCCAAAGTATAACCAAACAGATGCAGGTTACTTCCACATAAAGTGATAGTTTCCTCTTTCAAAGTCCCACCTTTAAATTAGATGCCTATCACTCAACAGCTCCCCTGACACACTGAAGTTTGAGTTCAAGGGTCACTAACTACTTTACTCAGGAGAGATAGGTGCTGGGGAAACAGGACTGAACGAAACTTCTTAAAAGTCATAAATAGAAGTATCTGATGCAACAGTACACCCCAGCAAGAACATTTGACTCACAAACATTACTGAACACTGCAAGGTATAAAATGATGAGCAGAGGGTCCCAAATTAGGTCCCCAAATGTATGGGGACCCAGCTGCTGAGCAGAATGAGGTCTCTGCGAAGCCTGCTGGCCGCCTCTGAGCCCTCAGCCTCCAAGGATGCTATTGAGGGCTTTGCTCTGTGCTGTCCAGGTACCTGAGTAACCAGGGGGTCCTGCATTCTGAGGTCACCAGGAGGAAGACCCAGAGGGCCTGCTGGCGGAACAGTCCACTGCACTTCAACTGCAACCATCCCTCCTTTCATGGTAAACACAGGAGCCTGTTACTCGGTCAGTAAGGTACGGAGGCCCTCAGTCCAAAACCCTCAAGGAACTCAATGCTCCCAACAACTACGTGAGCTTAGAAGTGGGTACACTTCCCCAGTCGAGCCTTCAGATGAGACTCAAACCCTGACTGACACCTTAACTGTGGTCTCACAAGAGATCATGAAGCAGAGTACCCAGCTAAGCCGTACCTGATTCCTGACCCATAGAAACTGTGAGATGATAAATATGCACTGGTTTAAACCATTAATTTGGGAGCCACTGTTGGCCATGCCTTCCCTCAGTTTGGAGTCAGCATCCCTCACTTTCTGCCTATCCAAACACTTCAGGGATCACCTCCTCTTCCAAAAAGCCTTCACTGATTTCTCCCTTAAACTCATGACATAATTTCTCTATCAGGAAGCTCAAGGTTTCTGAAGTATCTTGTGACCACCTACAAGGTCACAAGTTCAGAGTCATCTTTTTCCCTCCCAACACCTAACACTTGGCCAGGTGTTTTGTTAACTGTAAACAAATATATCCTAGTACAAAGGCAAAGTACTTCAGAAAAAATACACAATAAAGCAAAATGCAAAACACTCTAACAAAAAACTGTGATACCCGCTGTAACTCTTCATCGTTAGCTCAAATGTCTGACTTTAAAATGTCTGAATCAATAAACTCAAAACCACCTCTTTCCCCCCAGAATCCACCCAGACTGGCCTATCAATACGATTTTGCACAAAGATTATGAAGGGTCTAGAAAGCACGGTGTTTAAGGTAACTTGCTTTACGTTTTAAAAGAACCCAAATGCTAGTTAGCAATCCTCCTCTATCAAAAGAGGACGTTGGGCACGAGCCCAAGACATAAATTCCTTATTAATTAAAAACACAAGTAAGCACTACTGTATGCAGACACAAGCCCAAAACGTGTGAGAGTACAGCAGACCTCACCTTCATCTCTGGGTACATGTACCGGTGGATGGAAGGCAGCCAATAGACAGGGGGCAGGCTGCCGCCCCTCCCGGGACCAGCATGGAGCACCCCTTTCTTGTCCTCGTAGAAGGCAGCCAGATGGGAGTAATGTCCTGGCATCTCCAGTTGGTGTCTGCAAACAGGCACATGCAGGGTGAGATCGAGACCTGGTGGCTGCCACAGCTCTGTCCCTCGCCCCCCCACCCCCACGTCCCCGCCCCAAGGGCTGCAACACTTAGGGGCAAAGGCCCTGATAAACTGAAAAGACCCCTTTTCTGAGGTTGCCCAGGATGCCCCCTTGGGAATTATAGGAGATCCTTAGGAAAAGCTCCAACGTGGGATCTGATACTCCCTGACAGGTGGGGGATGCATTCCCCTGCTCACGGGGAACAGGCAGAATTCTCAGACTGTGACCAATGCCTATCGTTCCTGGGCGAGGTGTGCTGACCACTGTGTGGGGCTTCCCAGAGCCTGGCTTTGGGCCTGAGAAGGGGGGGCCTGGGAAGACCATGATCCCTGTTCTGAGCTGCTCTTTGTTGAGAAATCATGCTTGCGGCTTTGTTGTTGTGAGAGAATAAGAGGAAGCAGTGTCTCAAACAAGAGGAAACAATTATCGGATGTCACTAAGGGCTCAGAATTTCCGTACCAAGTAATGAATAAAAAGCTCAGAATCTCTTCCTCCCCTCCCGCCTTACCCACTTGGGATGGCAGAGCCTGTTGGTGGGCAGCCCTGCCAACTGACCCCAAATCAAGAAAGTTGCCTGGAGGCCCTGGACCACTTGGACAATGGGGATTCTGCCTTCACGGTGAATGCGGGAGTGCAGGGAGTACTACTTGGCACTATGTTTAATGGGGGTGTTAAGAGTTGAACTGTGTCCCCACCAAAAAATATGTTGGAGTTCTAACCCCCAGCACCTCAGACTGTGACCTTATTTGGAAACTAGTGACCTGGTGCACGGATTCATGCACATTGAAAATAAATTAATTAGAAGGTGGCTGGTGGGGCAGGATTGGGCGAGAAGGGCTGAACATGCCTTGGAGCCAACATCCCACGGTCCCTCCCCAGTGTCTTTGGAGTGAGCAGGGTCCCTCCAGCAGGTGGGGTCCCTTGGCCTGGCCTGCAGGGATAAGGCTGAAACGGGCTCTCTGACATCCCCTGAGGGGTCCCAGAGTGCGAGAGGGCACTCTGCAAAGCTGCTATCATACAGCGGGTGGAACACAAACGCAAGTACAGTAAACCAAATTCTGGGCCGACAGTGCCCCCAGCAAGGAATAAGGCTCCCTCCTCTCTGGTTTTGGGGTGTGTCATTCGAGAACCGCCTCTGCCAAGTCACTGCAGCTTGGCAGCTCCTGCGTTGAGCATCTGCCTCCTGGTGGTCAGTGCACATCATAGCTACCAGTTGGACGGACACTTAGCATATAAGCCTTTTATATGTATAAATAGGGTCTTCATAGATAATTAAGGTGAGTCTTAACCCAATGTGACTGGGTTCCTTATAAAAAGGGGAGATTTGGACACAGCCACACACATGCAGGGAAGACGCCATGAGAAGATGAAGGCAGAGAGCAGGAGTGATCACCTACAAGCCGTGAAGGCAAGGCCGCCAGCAAACCCCACTCGGAGAGGCAAAGACACATCACCCCTCCAAGCCTCGCAGGAGCCAGCCCTGCCAGCACCCTGATTGTATTCTTTGGCCGCCGGACTGTGAGAAACACATTTCTGTTCTAAGTCACCCAATTTTTGGTACTTTGTTAAGGTAACCCTAGGACACTGACATAGTGGGAATAAAATAGGCACTACACCTTTTTAGCCCATTTGTGCTTTCTCGGCACCCTACAATTTCCTCCCACTGCAACAAAAAGAATCCAAATCTAGCTTTATCGCGCAAGGGGAGGCTCCTCTAATTACAGCTGGAACATCGAAGACTAACACAGGCCATCTCCCCAAACTGTCACTGTTGCTGACCACAAACGCTGACACAAACCACTAGACCCAAGACTTTCATCGTCCAACCAGCTCCACTCCAGAGCGACCAGCGGCCCCAGCCTGAGGCCACAGCTGCCACTTCACCTTGAGGTCCCAGGCAAGTCACTACACTTTCCAAAACCCACTTTCTCTTTCCTTAAAATGCAGATGGTGCATTTCAGTAGACACCTGCACCACCTCGAGAGGGATTACTTTGAGATGTAAATGAAATGAAGTAGGAAAGGTGCCTCACGCCATTTGTGACACGTCAGTCACGCACACATCAGTCCCAGTGATCCTGCAGCGGCTAGCCAGGCACACAGGGAGGGCTCAGAAACCAGGGGGATGGGGAAGGTTCTGGGCAAGCCCAGGAGGAGACCTTCAAGCAAATTTACATTTTAAAAAGAAAAAAAAAAACATCAGCTCCATTCAATGAACGATTACTAAAATAAATGTCTCCTGAGTGACAGCTCTCTAACTCGGGGGTTCCTATACGGTCTGTTTTAAGCTTTGCCCAGGGTACTTATAATCACTTCTTTCACTCTTACAAAAACGTTCGTGTGGATGGGAAATCCGCAGTGACTCACTCAGTTGTGTTTGTCTATCTGAGCAGATGGCAGATTTCAGACACTCTTCAGGGCTGTGTGTCAAACTGAGGCAAGTTTGATGAATACAAAATAACCCAAAGACAAGATTACGTTCAAGGGTGTTTTCATTAGGACCTAATTTCCCTAAAGAGAAGAGTGAGATTCATTTACTGTTTTTTTAGTACTGTATTTTCCATGTTAACGGGGGTAATTTATGTAACGCTTTATTATTTTCTCGGTTCATTGGTGATTTGCTGCTCCGCTGACTGTTCTGTTTGGCTGCATTAAATGCTATGCTTGAACCAAGACGCTAAAGAAAAGCTGAGTCAGGGTCCCTTAGACAAAAAGCTGGCTTCAGGGTCCTGTCCTCTGACCGCCTCAGACACTCCCAGCTGATGGAACGGAGTGGGCAGGAATATGAAATGTAGAATATGAACATCGACATCAACACAAATTGGCAGTTCCTGCGTAATTGGTAAACAACTGTGGTAGGAAAGCCTCAAAATTTAAACACTATAGATTTTGTAATAAACAAGATTGATCTTCAAACCATAATACCAAGATAAACTGAAAGGTGCTGCAACGAAGTTCAGTGCTAGAAGGTAAAGGGGGCATCAAAGACGCAGGAGACCTCCTGGTGATCTGACCTAGGAGGATGCACAGATTAAGAAACTACCACCATGCATCTATGCAGATGTCCAAGAGGCATGACATGGTAAAAGCTGACGAGTAATTGACACAATACTAGTACATGCTACTGATATGAAGCTCAGGCTTCTGGGCCAGACCAAGGATCCCGGCAGGACCTTGGCACTGGCGGTCTCCTGAAACGCACAGCCCCTTCACGGATACAGACGTTTATGAGACCATGCAGATTCCCACTGCGGCTCTCCCCGCCTTCCCCCACCACACCCAGCAACAAGGCACCCGGCGTAAGAACGAGAGATGCCACTGGGCAACGACTACACCATCGCTCGGGTGTATATATATCTTCTGGCTTCACAAGTGCAGGAAAACATGCATTTCCACGGACTGCTGGTGCAGGTCCAAATGTACCATCTTCTGCAGGGTCACTTGCAATGTCTATTAAATTGTACACTGTATACACCCTTGACCCTAGAGCCCCATTTCCAGGAATGTGGCCTAAAGAGCTCCATATATGGATGTGAACAATCATTTACCTACAGGGATGCTCATATTATAGTGGTGAAAAATAAGAAACAATCTAGAAGCCCCCAAATGGTGAAACAGTTACATAAATTGTGATCATCTATATGCTGAAATGCAATGAAACCACCAAAATGACGGTGAGGACTCAGTTATAATATACTAAAAGGTTAGATAATTTAGATAGTAAATGACTTGGGATTTTTTTTAAATTAACATGTATGTGCTTATTTATAAAAGGGCAAAAGACTAGAAGGATGTAAATGTTAACAGTAGATATGTCCGGCTGGTGGTATCATGTTCTTTTTTTTCTTGGAGTTCTGTGTCTAGTTTTCTATGTTAAGTATATGCTAATTTTATATTTAGTCTTTTTAAACATTTTATTATGGAAAGTTTGAATTATATGCAGAAAGTAGAAAGAAGAAAATAATAAACCTTCTATCCATCACTTAGCTTCAACTATGATCAATGTTTTATCAATATGGTTACATCTATATCCTGTTCCCCTCTACTCTTTTTCCTGAAATATTTTAAATATTTCACCCATAAATACTTTGGTGGGTATCTCTAATGGATAAAATCTAATTAAAAAATAGCATAATCACCATGCCATTATCTCACCTATGTTAATAATGATACCTTACTAAAAACTAATATCCAGTCCACATTCAAATTATACCAGCTGTCCCCAAAATGTCGTTTGAGTTGGTTGTATGAATCAAGATCTAAGCAAGGTCCCAAAATGTAGTGATGTGTATTAACTCTTTCACTTTACAACACTCCCTCTTCCTTTTCTCATTGTTTTATTATAAAGCAGCTCTCCAGCATCTTGGAGTTGTAGATGAACCACTAATAAGTTTGGGATATCAGAAATAAGAATGAATATAAAACAGAGATTAGGTGTTTTCAGAAATCAAGTCTGGTTAGTTTATATAAACATCATGACTGCAGTCTGGTATCAGCCCTGCCTAGACCCGGGCCTCCCTCACGATGCTTCTTTCTTTTCCTCATAGTCTCTCAAGTCTCTTCTCTCGTGTTACCTCAAGCCCTCTTCAACCACCTTTCTAGCTATAACTCAAAATCTAAAAGCCAGAAAAAAAAGATTAATGAATTCACTGAAGGAAAGAATCTGCATGACAAAAAAATGTTAGACAATAAATGACAAAGTGGAAAACTATTTTCAATTTATGTCACAAAGAACAAATCTCCCATTGTACAGAGAACTCCTATAAATTAATTTTTGAAAGGCCAACAACCCAAAACAAACGTATGGGAACAGTTCACAGAAAAAACAAATGATTCAAACTCAACCTCACTTATAAAAATGTAGCCCAGTTGGTGTGGCTCAGTGGTTGAGCATCGATCTATGAACTAGGAGGTCACAGTTTGATTCCTGATTCCCAATTCCCAGTTGGGGCACATGCCCAGGTTGCAGGCTCGAAGCCGATCAATGATTCTCTCTCATCATTGAAGTTTATATCTATCTCCCTCTCCATCTCTGAAATCAATAAAAAATATATTTTTAAAAAAATGCAAATTAAAACTACTCATGTACCTATCAGAATGCCAAAAATTCAAAGCTTTTATCTTTGTGTGGGCAATGTGGTGAGAAAACATCACCCCCTTGAATTACTGTTGGGCATGCAAAATGGTACAATCTCTATGGAAAGCAATGCAACAATCTCTCTTAACATTACAAATACATACCTTTTGAACCACTAGTTTTATTTCTGGGAATTGAATGTACACTGATTCTGCTGACTTATGAAATGATACTTGTTCATGGGTGTTCAGTGCAGTGTTATTTGAAATGGCAAAAGACTGTAAAGAACCAAGTGCCTATCAATACAAAACTTGACAAAGAAAACCTGGTTCTTCTATACAGGGCACCTTTACAACCATAAGAAACAAAAAAGAGGCGAGAGACCAAGATGGCGGCATAGGTAAACACCGCAGCCTGCTGCCGCAAACAACCACTTCAAAAATACAACTAAAAGACGGAACGGACATCACCCAGAACCGCAGGAAGGCTGGCTGAGGAGAGACTCTTCAACTAGAAGGAAAAATAACAGCACACCGAGGCTCCTTTACAACCATAAGAAACAAAAAAGAAACCTCGTTGAAGATATGGAATATGAGAAGACCTCCCAAATATAGTGTTTAATGAAAGAGGCAAGGCACAAAACATGTAGAACATGTTACTTTTATATGAAGAGGGGGAAGTGAGAATCTACATTTGTATTTGTATAGACACATACACAAGGTCTAGAAAAATACATGAGAAACTGACAGTGATTACTGGGACAATTGGATGGATGGGGGAACTGGGTAACAACTTAATTGTTTGCTAGTGGTAGAGACTGCCATTCTCTTCTTCCTTTAGTAATAGGACCTTCCAAATTTTAGCTGCTCACATGGCCACCAAGTTTAAGACCACATTTTCTAGACTTTCTGGCTATAAGGTGTGGCTAGTAATTAAGATGTGGCCAATGAAATTCGAGCAAAAGCAATGTGTTCCTGGGACACACGACATCCTAATGATCAGCAGGCTTCTACCATGCAGATGAAGACAATGCTCTAGAAGATGGCAGAAGACAAGACAGAAAGACCTAGGTCCCAGGATGACCCAGTAGAACACAGCCACCTACCATCCAGGAGGGCTTCTCCCTCTCTGGGACAATCATGCGAAAAAAAGAGCGGTATTTCTATCTTGTTTGATTCGCTGTATATTGGATCTCACAACTGAGAGCTAAGAACTGAGGGGATTGTAATTATAGAACTTTATGTAATAGATATTGCAAACTATAAAAATTGAGATGGGAAGCAGGGGAGAAGAGCTGGGAAAAAGTAGAAGATAATGGACTCTGTCAACAGTTGAAATGCAATTTAAAAACCAATGACACCTATACAAAGATTTCTGCACTTTACTGTACATGTTATTCCTCAATAAAAATAAGAACGATACTGTATCTTCATGTTTTTCATATTTTTTCTTAACTTTGGAGGAATAGATCAAGAAATAAGATATCTTATTGTGAAAAAATATATATTCTCTTAGAGTCTGACAATTCCTTCAGTTTCATTTATTCTCTTCCTAATAGATACAACTAAAATTAATATATTTCATGAAAACAGCCTATTTGTTAAATTAAATCCTCATAAAATACTAATACCATCTTTATAAAATTATTTCTATTTTACAATGGCATTCACTGCATATTGAGAATGGATATCTCTCTGAGTGGGAAGATTTTTAAAAATGGACATCTCTGAGCGGGAGGATTTTAAAAATTCATTTGTACTTCTATATAAATTTTTAAATAAACATGTTTTCCCCCCACAAACAATAAATTTCATGTTGTTTCAAAGATAATGATCAAGAGAGATTGTTATATAAAAAAATCAAAAAAATGATAAATTTAAAAAGTACAGGAGATAGAAGTGTATGTATGTATATATATCGTATGATGCCAAAGATATATTTTTATAGTACACACACACACACACATACATACACACACACACACACACACACACACACACACACCAGAAAGGAGGCAAATGTACTAAAATTTTAACAGCGTTTTAAGGATTAGGAATAGATTTCTCCCTCAAAATCTGAAATGAAATTGGAGTACTTATAGAATGAAAAAGAATGTTAAATGACTAATAGTTTTGCTGCTTCTGCCAAAAATTCCCTTCCTATTACCCAAGTAATAATAATTACCCTAAATAAATGATTAGGCTTAAAAAAATTAAGAGTCTGTTTGCCTCCCTGGGGCAAGGAGGTTATTATCCTGGCTCCAGGAAACAAAGGTCATGCACATGGCAGCAAATGATTTAATCAGACGAACTGAATGACAGTTTTAAAATAAGGCAAAACCTACCCCAGCTTTCATTATAGTATGAAGAATTATTAGGTGGTACCTTAGCTAAAACAAAAAGACCACCACCTGAGGCATGAAACATGGTCGAGGATGTTCTTGGAAAGGCAGCTGTTGCTTTGGCACACAACCTTGATCGCCAAGGGCTCATCAAGACACCAGCGGACAGACCCCTGCTGCCTCCCCGCACGTGTATCTAAGCCACGTACCGAACCTGGTTCTCCAGGAAGTGCATGTACCGGTAAAGCAGGGTGTAGGACGGAGACAGGATGCCCACAGACTTCATGCGTGCTCCCCGCTCCAGCTCGCTCTCCACCGGCATGTTGGCGAAGCAGGCCAGGCCGAAGAAGGGGCCCTTCCGGAAATAGCTAAAATGGACCAAATAAGCAGTGTGGTTCACAATCAGAGAGAGAGATTTTGTTTTGCTTTGGTTTTTTTTCATTTGAGATGCAGTCCCCAAGAAAAGAAAAAACTGTGTCCAGAGCTCTTTGTAAGAAAGCTCAGCCTAAAAATAACACCTTTTTAGGATCTCAGGGGAATAATTAGCCTAAGCTACTCAACCTCCGAAACGAGACACCCAAGTAAAGAAATGATGGAGCTCGCCAAGGGGCATCCAGCTGGAGCCAGGACTGATCTCTGGCAAGCCTGCTACCCAACTGCCCGTGACCATGAATATGTCCCTTCTCCTCTCCTGCATAACTAACGACCTGATGGAAGACCTAGTACAAAGATTCGTCCCCAGGCCTGTCTGGAACCAGCAATCCGTGTCATCAGCATAAACAGTGTTGACTCTCTCCTCACTTCCTGAGGCTCTGATCTAACAGAGCCTGTGACCAGAGCGGCTACATTTCCTTCCTCTTTCTCACACTGCATCAGTCATGGGTTCAGCCCAAGGGGAAGATTAAAGCTACTGCATTATGCTCATGTTCTTTCCCTTTGCTCCTTCTCCCAAGAACCTTAACTACACAGGACGATAACCTGGCCTGACTTAAGGCTGGAATTTCAAGCTTTAGCACATAAATATCTTGAGTTAACTGAAACTAAACCAAAACTCCATGTTTTCATTAAAGCCAAACCTCAAGTGAGGGCCAATAGTTTTTTTAGAAAAAAACTACAGTAGAAGCTCTTAGCTTCTTTGGGTCACGAAACCCACTGAAACCCTAATGAAATGTAAGGACCTTCTTGCTAGAAAAATAATATAAATGCAAAACTATATATATATTTTCAGGGCATTTATACATGCCTCCTGAAGACCCCCTTATGCTCGGGCGAAGTACAAGGTGGAGAGAAAATGAAGAAGACTTACATTCTGAAGTACTTACATGAAATCAGACTGGATTTTATGGGACCCACTGGCCATAGACTTGAACTCAACACCTTCAAGGTCAATATCTTGAGGTAAACACCATTCCACCATGTTTCCTGTGGGGAAGGGAGAACACAGTTAAAAGAAGCAAAGTCATTCAAAGAACAAGGCTGAGTGCAGGGCTCAGCACAGCTAGCACCACAAGAAACAAACACAGTAACTTGTTAAAACTTTAACTTACCTACATTCTGTACTGTGTAGGTACAGAAAAATACTATACAAAGTGCTCTCATAACTATACAGCTCAATGGATCTTCCCAATGTGCATACACCTGTAACCAGCGCCAAGACCAAGATGCAGAACAGATCTAACAGATCTGCAAGTCAGAAGCCTCTCAAGCCCCCTCCAAGTCACCAACCCTCTCCTGACTTCCAACACCATGCATCAGTTTTTGAAATTTGTATAAATGTGATCATCGTGTGTGTTCTCTTTTGCTCAGTATTTTTTTTTTTTGCAAGATTCATTCACATCGGTGCGTGGAGCAAGTACTTCCATCCTATGCATATAACACTGTTTATCTACTTAACTGTTGATATACATTTAGCTCATTTTCAATTTAATGCTATTACAAATATCACTGCTATAGACTATCTGGTGGATACAATTGGAGGCAGAACTCCATTGCTCAGAACTCCTTTCCCTGTGTGTTTCGGGTCCACATGGGAAGGTGGAAGTGAAGCAGTAGCTGTGCTGTATTCACAACGGAAGGTGGTGCAGGAGCACCAGGCAGCTCCCAGTGTGGGGTGCAGCCAGGCCTGCTGAGGCCACCCTCCCCTGGATCCACCTCCTCGGATCCTCTACCAGCTCTCTGACTCCAGAGCCAGGAGTGTGTTTAGTTCCATAATGCTGGGCGTTAGCTTCATCAGGACACTCAAGTAGTGACGGGCTGACCCAGGTTCCCATCCATCCTCATCAATTCCACATTGTTCTCTTTCTCCCCAATGTTACCGCCTTCTTCCATAACTGCTCACTAGTACACTCTGAGCTCCATGATCACACACAAAGACGACAGCCGTACACAGTATCTAACCAGCTCCCACACTGTGCAACACCACATTCCTGAAATAAATCCCTGTATGTATCTCCCAGTGGTTCTCTCTTGGATTAACCTTTGACTGACACAAGAAACACACATTTCTGTTGACTACATCACGAGAAGAAGTGCTGTAAAAATGCTCGCATCGCTGCAAACTAGAAAACGTCAATAGTTCCCCAAGTAGTGTTTCCCAAAGCTTAGGTTGACAGGGCTTCTGCAAAAAATAAAACAAGTTTTTAAAAAGGGATTTGAACCAAACAAGTTATATAAAGATGGACAGGACACATTATTGCAGAACTTCTCAGAGCCTTTATATGTTACTCTGCACTGTGAATTTCTATGAAATGAATACAGTGTTTAACGTTTCCACAATTATTTGGCCAATAAACCTATTTTTAAGGGGCATCTAAGGGACATTTTATAGACATGCTAGTAGATAAGGGGCAGCAAGTAGGCCCTTGGCATCCATTCTTCCTTTTTCCTAGGAAACAGACCCTTCTACGTTTAGCTTGGCACATGGCCTTCCAAATGATAACTACGTTTCTCAGTCCCTTTTTGCATATACATATGGCTGTCTATGTAAATTCTAGCCATCTCATTTACTCAACCAATGAAATGTAGACAGAAGTGAGGTGTGTAGTTTACAAAATGTGGCTTAATGGGCAGGAGAATGATGCCCCTTCCTCTACCCTGCTGCTGGGAATGTAGAGGTGGGTACAAGCTATTCTCAACCATGAGGGTGACAGCGTCCGCCTACTTGTCATGGAGGGGATGATGGAGCAAGAGCCACTGTGAGTCAAGGTCCCTGGATGACCTCATTGGGTCTGAGCCAGCATTCCCGCCCTGGCCAGCCACCTGCGATCTTGATCCAACCACTCTTAATTTGGGTCTGGTATTCATGGCTGAACCCATGTTTTATCTGATGCAGCTGATCTGTGGAAGTAAGCAACCATCCTCAGCCTGGTTCTCAAAGCCTCCCTCCTCGTTCCGCTTTGCTTGGCCTTGCCTCCTCGTACATCCCAGCTTATCACCTCTGTCTTAGATGTCTGTCTCCCCAGGAGTCTGAACTTTTATTTTTTATTTTTTTTTAAATATATTTTTATTGGTTTCAGAGAGGAAGGGAGAGGGAGAGGGAGAGAGGGAAAGAGAGAGAGAGAGAGAGAGCTAGAAACATCAATGATGAGAAAGAATCATTGATCGGCTGCCTCCTGCACACCCCCATTGGGGATCAAGCCCGCAACCCGGGCATGTGCCCTTGACTGGAATCAAACCTGGGACCCTTCAGGCTGATGCTCTATCCACTGAGCCAAACCAGCCAGGGCAGGAGTCTGAACTTTTAAAAAAATGTTTTTATTAATTTGAGAGAGAGAGGGAGAGGGAGAGAAACAGGATCAAACCAGCAACGTGGGTATGTGTCCTGACCAGGAATCAAACCCATGATCTTTTGGTGCATGGGATGACACTCAACCAACTGAGCCATACCAGCCAGGGCAGGAGACTGCATTTCTTAAAGGCAGGCACTTTGCTTATTTATCTTCACATCCCAACAGCACAGTGATTAGTACAGGACAGGAATTAAAAGCAAAATAAAAATAGAAAAACAAAAACAAAAAACCTCAGCTTTATTGAGGACAGGCATGTTTTTTGATGAATTAATGTTAATTACCCTAGGGCAGTGGTCGGCAAACTGCCGCTCGCGAGCCACATGCGGCTCTTTGGCCCCTTGAGTGTGGCCACGAAGTTTCAATCGCACTGTACGTGCGCGCCCGCACGTGGTATTTTGTGGAAGAGCCACACTCAAGGGGCCGCAGTGTGCCGACCACTGTTCTAGGGTCAATAATAGTGGTTATATAGGTAAATGTCCTTCTTCTTAGGGGGCTTATACACAAGTACTTAGAAGTGAAAAATCACCATTAACTTTCAAAAAGCTCAGGGGGAGAAAGGTATATCTGTATATAATAAGTTCTGATATAATGCTGACTTTGGGTAACACAACTGATATATTAGGAAGAATTTTAGCAGAGGAAATTTCACATTTGCTTATGCTATAGACTCAAGGCAATTTCCATCAAAACCTCAGCAAGTTATTTTGTGGATATTGACAAATTAATTCTAAAGTTTATATGAAAAGGCAAAAGGCCCAAAATAGCCAACATTATGCTTAAGAAAAACAGTCAGAGGACTGATACTATCCAATTCTAAGACTTACTATAAAACCATGGGAATCAAGACAGTGTGGTATACAAGGGAAACAAAAGGAAAAACGGAAAGGAAACTACACCAAACTAAAGCTTTTGCACAGCAAAGGAAACCATCAAGAAAAGACAACCCACTGAATGGGAGAAGATATTTGCCAATGATGCACCTGAGAAGGGGTTAATATCTAAAATTTACAAAGAACTCAAATCAACACCAACCCCCCCACCCCCCAAACAATCCAATTAAAAAATGGGCAGGGGACCTGAATAGACACTTCTCCAAAGAGAACATACAGATGGCCAATAGACATATGAAAAGATTCTCAATGTCTCTAATTATCAGAGATGCAAATTAAAACCACAATAAGAGCCCCAGCCCGTGGCTCTGCTGGTTGGAGCATCGTCCCATATACCAAAAAGGTTATGGCTTCAATTCCAGGTCATGGCACATATCTGGGTTGTGAGTTCGATCCCCAGTTGGGAGGCAACAGATTGATGTCTCTCACATGAATGCTTCTTTCCCTCCCCGCCTCTTTCCCTCCCTCTTTCTTACTCTCCCCCTTCCTCAATAAACATATCCTTGGGCGAGGATTAAAAAAAAACCCACAAAAAAAACTACAATGAGATATCACCTCACCCCTGTCAGAATGGCTATCATCAATAAATAACAAATGTTGGCGAGGATGTAGACTGGTGTAGCCACTATAGAAAACAGTATGGAGTTTCCTCAAAAAATTAAAAGTGGAGCTGCTCTATGACCCAGTGATCCAACTTTTGGGTATTTATACAAAGAAACCCAAAACAATAATTTGAAAGAATATATGCACCCCTATGTGCATTGCAGTGTTATTTACAATAACAAGATATGGAAGCAACCCAGGTGCTCATCAATAGACAAGTGGATAAAAAAGTGATGCTATATTTACAATATGGAATATTACTTGGTAATAAAATCTTATCATTTGCAACAACATGGATGGAACTAGAGGGTATTATGCTAACTGAAATAAGTCACACAGAGAAAGAAATACCATATGATTTTACTTATACTAGAGGCTTGGTGCACAGATTTGTGCACTGGTGGGGTCCCTCAGCCTGGCCTGTGCCCTCTTGCAATCTGGGACCCCTTGGGGGGTGTCAGACTGCTGGTTTTGACCTGATCCCTGCAGGCCGCAGCTGCGCTCACCAGCCGTGAGCCCGGTGTCTGGCAGAGCGGTGCTCCCGTCGGTCAGCTGAGCGGTGCTCCCTCTGTGGGAGTACACTGACCATGAGGGGGCAGCTCCTGCATTGAGCGTCTGCCTCCTGGTGGTCAGTGTGCGTCATAGTGACCAGTCGACTGGTCATTCATTTGGTCACTTAGGCTTTTATATATATAGATGTGGGATCTAAAGAAGAGAAAAAACAAACAAACAAAACTGAAGCAGACTCATAGATACAGAGAACAGAGTAACGGTTGCCACAGGGGAGTAGGGCTGGGGGACTGGGTGAAAAGGGTGAAGGGATTAAGAAGTACAAACAGTCACAAAATAGTCATGGGGATGTAAAGTACAGCATAAGGAACAATGATATTTTGTTGACTGTATATGTAATGGTACCAGGTGGCTGTTTGGGATAACAGGGGGAGCACTTTGTAGGGTATATGACTGTCTACTAAGCTGTACTCCTGCAACGGTACAAAACAGTATTGAATGTAAATGGTAATTTTAAAAAAATCCCAGCAGTCTTTACTCTGTACATGAAAATCTATCCTTTTTTAAATGTATTTCTCCCCTGTAGTTTATTCTCTTCATTTTCTAACTTCTTATCTCATGTATCTATTTAAAATATAAATGTTCTTCAAAGTCTGCTTTTG